AAGGTTATGCAATGCAGCGACATCAATCAACACTCGTATAGACATAATGGCTGTAACGGTGAATAAATATCGAAGAAATCTACTCATTCACTCTGCTTATACCCTTTGGCTACTAATATAGTTTTGTACTTGTCTATTGATCCATTCGATTTCAATTTCCTTTTGAAGATCCATTTGCAGCCTAAATCTTTATTCCCTGGAGGAAATTCAACCAATTTCCAAGTATGGTTGTTCATGATGGATTCAATTTCATTATTAACAGCTTCTTTCCAAAAAAGAGCTTCAGGAGTGGACATTGCTTCATCAAATGTCCTATGATCATTTTCTAGTATATATGTTAAAAAATCTGGACCAAAGGTCTTATGAATCCATTGTCTTTTACTGTGCATCTGTTCTTCATCTTCTTAATGATTACTATCTTTTTTATAGTTTCTAATTGTAGTATCGTAAGTTCGTTTGTGTGAACTTACTTATTTATCTTTACAAGGAAAGATATCTTCAAAGAATACAATTTTTTTTTTTGATTCAATGATGGTACCTTCATGTACATCAAATATATCGGACTTATGAACTAAAAAATTAAAAATTGATATGCACTACTGTTGTTTGCATTTTCAATGAAGACACAGTCAATAGTCTTAGGTCCAATCTTTATACATTTTGGTTTTGGTTTAGGTATCTCTACCTTTGTCAAACACCCTCACACTTTAAGATATTTGTGGGAAGGTTTCCGACTTTTCCATAATTCATAAGGCGATTCAACTTTACTTTTGTGTGGTATTTTATTAAGGATATGATTTGCTGAAAGGATAGCTTCCTTCCCACAAGTTATGAGGTAAGTCTGAACTAATCAACATTGCATTCATCATTTTCTTAAGGGTTCAATTATCGTGTTTAGCAACCCCATTAGATTGAGGTAAATATGGTATAGTAGTTTGATGAATAATCCCAAATTCCGTACAAAATTCTTCAAACGACGCAACATACTCTCCACCTCTATCACTGCGAATCATTTTTATTCATTTTCCAAGTTGGTTTTCAACTTCAACTTTATAGTCTTTGAACATTTCTAAAGCTTATCTTTATTTTTCAACAAGTATACATAACATCATCTTGTACAATTATCTTTGTTTGTAGGATCCTTTAGTCACACACGTCCGTTGGAATTAGTCTCAAAGGTGTTGTGGTTCGTTCAATTGAATGATATGGTGTTTTGGCCAATTTTGCCTCTACATATATCTCACATTTTCCATTATTAAAATGCATACTCGGAAGTAAACTTAAATTCATTAACTTAAGTATTGAATTAAAGTCTGTATGTCTTAATCTATGATTCCATAAATTAGGCAACTCAACAATATAAGCAGAAAACAATATTTTATTGTTTGAAATGTTTGGTACAATAGTAAGGGCGTTCATTTTGAATAGTCCATCTTTTACATAGCCTTCGCCTACATACATGTTATTCTTGGTAAGTACAAACTTATTCAATACGAAGACTAGTTTGAAGTTGTTCTTGCTTAATAAGAACCGAAGCTAGTTTTGCGAATATTCGGTACGTGAAGAACGTTGCTGAGGCTAAGTTCCTTCTCCGATGTCATCTTTGATATTACTTTGCCTTGTCCTTCTACTTTTGAATTTGAGGAATTCCCCATGAATAGTTTAGTGGTTAGAGTATAGGAAGTGTACATTCCTTTATTGGTACATATGTGACGGGTAGCACCCGTATCAACCCACATTCCATGGGATTTTCAACGTTGTTGCACTTTAAAACAATGGCCAACAGATTCACATCAGACATACCATTTGATATGACATCAGATTCGGTGATATTCGCTTGGGTGTGCTTCCTTGGTTTGCGACAATCAACGGAGCGATCTACAGCCTTTCTACAATTATAGCAATTATCATTGAACTTCTTTGCATTTTTCTTCGAAAGTTCAATAGAATGCTTCATTTTCTTGATTTTATTGTTGCATTCTACCACATTAGCTTTTGCTTGTGATATTTTATTTCCAACACACTTGTCTGAACTTCGGTTGTCTTCTTCAATCCTCAATCGGACCACAAGTTCTTCAATGTTCATCTCTTTGTAATTGTATTTGAGATAGTTCTTGAAATCCCTCCACATGGGGTTAAAGTTTCTCGATGATCGTAGCCACTTGAAATGATTCACTTAGAGACATTTTCTGCGTGAATATCATGAAGAATAACCTGCAATTCTTGCACGTGACTGGTGACTATCTTTGAATCTACCCTTTTTGTAGTCGAAGAATTTTCCTACGATGAACTTTTTTGTTCCAGCATCTTTAGTCTTGTATTTCTTTTTCAATGACTCCCATAGTTCCTTTGCAGAGTTCTTGGAACTGTATACGTTATATAACGAGTTGTCCAAGCCATTCAGAATATACTTCTTGCACAAGAAATCTGAATGTTTCCAAGCATACAAAGCAATTAGTGATACTCTATTATTTTTCCTGTCTTGCATGGCAGGAGCGTCTTCATTTAAGAACTTTGCCAAGTTGAGGGTCGTAATATAGAACAAAATTTTCTGCTGCCATATCTTGAAATCAAACCCAATGAATTTCTCCAGTTTATTTCTACGTGGAATGGAGTTTGGAGGGACAGTAACAACCGGACGGATTGTACCGGTATGAACAATTCCTTCCGAAGTTCCCGTATTCAAATTGTCGTTCAAAGTAGAGTTGGTATTAAAAATCGAATTCAATTCTGTTTACACAAAACAGGAGATCAACCAAATCAAAAGAAGAGTATAAGAAGTTAAACCAAATAATAGTTTAACTGAAGAAAAAAGATCATTCCAACAACCACATAAAATTTGACTTAAGATTATTGGATGTATATGGTGTATGGAGTCACAAAAAGAAGGCCGGTAGAATCTTCTGTTGGAATTTTGGCAGAGTAACGACAATGAAACTTCAAATGAATAACATCAAATTAATGTAAAGTCAAGGCAAGTGTTGAACACTTTATCCTTAAATTGAATTTGCCCGGTGAATATGCCTACTGTTTATGGCAATCAACTCTCAAGATACAATAACTTTTTCTTGTTTGAGTAGCACTTCAACATATAAGAACAACAAACCATAATTTGATTTATCTACTTCTTAATGCAAAATGAAGAAAACCAGAATTTTATACAATATATATGCAAAAATTGGCTGAGAGAGAAAAGAAAATGTCATGCTATGATTGCATATCATTGATGTGAAGAAAATGACATTCCAAGGGTCCTATTTATAAAGTATGAGGGGTTGTGGACGAAGTATTGGGAGCCAAACCTCGCAATCTTACGAACAGAAGCAACTCTTGCTGTCGTTAGCCTGTCACCGACTTCTCGCTTGAGCGACGGTGACACATTTTCATCAGAGTTTATCTCGCTAGCCTGTTGTTGGCCTCTCGCTCGAGCGACATGCGAGCGATAGACAAGCGACAAAGATAGTCATATTTCAACCAATGTATCCTATTTTCTATCCAAATTTGGACCACAAATTTCCATTCATCCAGAATTGATTTTGAGATCTCAAATAAACTACGACGATCTACTCGACGAGCAGAAAATGTTGGTCTATTTACATTTGTAATTTGACTATCGGATCAAGTTCGAATATTTTCTCAAAGTTGACACCGAGTCACTTGTTCAAAATTATACTTAACCAAAATTTTGAATTCTTTAAACCAATTCCAACAATATTATCAACATAAAGAGGGAAAATATTTTAATCGTGAAAATATTATTGGTAGGTAAGTTGAAAAGAAAACTCCAATTAATTTCTCCACAACCACATCGATCATGAGGGTTTCCTTGTGACTATGAATGGTGCGTTAGGACCACTTCTTCTCTATGGAGTTTAAAGAATTGTCAAATTTATTGCAATATTATAATCAATGCGAATTAATTGTTCATTAATTAGTTACAAATCTGAGATAGATTTAAGTTTAAATTCAAGGTTCAAAAGATGGGAAAAAGGAAAAGAAGACGAAAGAATTAAGTAAAAATCTAGTGTTGGCTATCGATATAATTTGATATTCATCTTTGTTCAACGGTTCTGAAGTCGTTAGTCTAGGTTTTTCTTTTTCTATTATGTTCATATGTAAACTTCAGAACTAGAATTAGATTTTACAGAGTGATAAAATTTATATTTGGGTTTAACTGGACATGTGGAGTTGACTAAATCTTTTTCAAATGAGGGATTGTTTGAGCCTCATTTTTTCAAAAAATGCATTTTGCAATAGTGTTATGACAGTGAATGTGTGGTTAAGAAATAAGAAAAAATGAATTCATGCATCTGATTGATGAATCATGAGAAGACAATTATCACTCACCAAGGGGCAGCCTTGACTCGAAGAGGAGTGCAATGTGTCTGGAAACTTGGGATTAGACCCAATTCCAATTCAAGTTGCAGTTCTCCTACTGCTACATGTAAACGAGAAGAAATAAGTCGTTAACGCTTTGGCTGTAGATATTGCTTTGTGTATTAAAAAAATCTTAAATTCTGAAACTATTTCTGGTACGCTCTATTAAATACTACGATTAAAAAAATGCGGATATACTTTCAAATTGGCTTTATAACAAAACTAGTGGGATAATTTTACATTGAGTGGGGGTACCATGACCAAATAGTGGTGTAGATACTATAGAGTTGATGGCTAGACTATAGAATCTATACAGACAATGTTAGAAAACAGCTAGCTGTTAGCTTACTTCTAATGCGTGTGTGTGTGTTCCATATTTCTCATTTTCACACATCATTTATATATATACAAGAACCAGCCCCATCCCATCCCACCCTACCCCACCGCAAGTAACCTACGAATCCCCCACGGCTTCACTTTTTGTTGACATATAACTTCTTATATATCAATATATGTTTCTGTCCTTCACCTGTCCACCGTTCTCTCGATAGATACATACAATAAACATACACTTGATATCTATATCAATATATATACTTACACATATTTGTACACACACATATATGGCTGACCCTCCACATGATCCCAACATTAGTCAACAAGACCAACCTCCACAACATGTCCAAACAATCCCTACTCCTGCTACTCCTCCACCTCCACCTCCACCAATACAACCACCGCCACCACATACTATATTCCACCAAGCAGATGAAAAACTAGAATCTCCAAGAAAGGTTCAAAAAACCTCCACCTCTAGTGGCTCACCTAGCAGCCGGTCCACCGGTGGAAAACACCCTCTATACCGCGGAATAAGGAGCCGGAGTCGGAGTGGCAAATGGGTGTCGGAGATTCGTGAGCCAAAAAAGACTACACGCATATGGCTAGGGACTTACCCTACACCGGAGATGGCCGCAGCAGCCTATGATGTGGCGGCTCTAGCCCTAAAAGGGAGTGATCATGCTGTATTAAACTTCCCCGATCGAGTTAGTACATATCCAGTTCCGGGTTCGCCTTCACCTGCTGATATTCGACAAGCAGCCGCAGCTGCAGCGGCCTTGATGAAGCCGGTAAGCAGCGTGGACGTGGTTGTTGAACCACCGGGAGATGGTGGCTCAGCTAATGCACAAGTGGAGCATGAATTTATAGATGAAGAGGCACTTTTTGATATGCCTAATTTGCTGGTGGACATGGCAGAGGGAATGCTTGTTAGCCCACCAAGAATGACTTCGCCGCCGTCAGATGACTCGCCAGAAAATTCTGATGCTGAAAGCCTGTGGAATTACTAAAAAAATTTCATTGAGAAAAATTTCAAAAAACTTATTAATTGTTGCTCAATTTGAATTTGGGGTCCTTAGCACAAAAGGATGAATGTTATGCAATTATATCTTTGTGAGAAAGAAAATCGTTATTTTGTTCTGCTTTTGGGAAGACAGAACAGTGAAAACCTAAAACCTAATGGGATTTTTTTAGGGTTCCAAAGACTGTATTTTGTAATAGTTGGATTTTGAAATCTCTCTATATATCTATCTGAATTCTTTTATATATATATATATGACTCCTAAGATTGTTTTATGTTATATTTTACTTACTAATAAAACATTTCTAGTGGTTTAATAAATAAAAAAAAGACAAGGAACAAGTGAGAACACTTTGTAACTTGCCCTCTTCTTGCCTAGCTCGGAAGATGTACCTATGGCGAAAGAGGGCTTCTTAGTTCCTTAATTAATTGGCTTCATCTATATTCCTTTCTATTGTGCCTAAAAACTTTATTATTGTCTTCAATACTGCGCGAGGATCAAATCTCGCGCTAATATGTTCAGTGGATTCTTCGACCTTGACTAATGACCTATTCAACGGTTTTTTTTTTCTTTTTCTTTTTTGATTTCTATATAGTTCACTAGTGTATAGAGTGTGTCAATGCCTTTGTGTGATGACGATGAATTCATTGATTATACAACTTCTTGTTATTATAGTTCACTAGTGTATAGAGCAACCTTTTTTTAAAATAATTTATTCGAAATTTGACAAAAGAAAATTAAGGGACTGTTTGAGCCGGATTTTAATCTGATTTTAATCCAAGTCAAAGTTAAACAATCAATATTAATCACACATTTCATAGGTCCCACAACTTTTCAACCACACATTTCAAAAACTTCTGATTTTAATCCGAACCAAACAGGGGCTAAATACCCTACATTAGAACCAGTATAAAACTTACTCAATTTTGATTTTAGTATTGACCGAAAGGTTACAACTCTGGTAACATGAATCATTACACAAATTTTTGACGTGTCTCGAATTTTAGTTGTTTTTAGATCTTCTAGTATATCTAGCAAAGAACTAAATGGATGGTGAAATTGATTTACTCTCTATGTCGACAACCTAAAAAGGTAGCTTACTTTTATTTGCGTAGAAAATTCTTGATTTTGATAATTAATTAGAATGAATTGATTTTTGGAGCCCATTGAATTTAAAATTAACGTGACTTGAACTGCCAAATCGAATATGAAATAATGAGAAAAGAGGGGGGACAAAAAGGTGGTTTATATAAATAATTTTACAACACAAATCTTGCGTCTTTCCGAAATCTTAGAAATTTTTTGGTCAAAACAAATAGTCCTTAAGAGTTGCTTTTAGTTGAAGAAAAATTCAAGATCGAGTTTGTAATTATAATTTGTCATAATTGATTACTATTATAATCATTAACTAGGCTGGTTATAAGTTAAAATTATTAGAGAAAAAATTGTATATTTATAATTTATAAATGTGCAATTTGAATTATTATTTTTTAATTCAATGGGTATATTATGCTAAAAAAAGGAAGAAAAAAAAGAGAAAGGAAAATAAGGCTTTAAAGACATGTATTTAATGCGTAATATTAGAAAAGACATGACGATGAGCTTCTGTTTGAATCACATTAAAATTTTCATTCTCATTTTTCTACTCATTTTCAACCTCACATTTTTCAATAAAATAATATTTTCCATCATATTAATATTTATTTCTTCTTTTTCAACCACACATTCTCCATCAATCCACAATTCCAAACTATATTCTTCCAAAATAATTTAGCTTATTTTTATTTCTTAATATTGTTCAGCACGATTGTTTACCTTATCAAGCATGAGAGAATGTTTTGGATTGAATTCCCGCGGGTAAAAAAATATTGGTCGCAATGAAAGTTCAATAAGATACTTTATATTTTGTTTGTTAGGTCATAAAACGTATGCTACAATTTGATAAATCTATTTTCAATCTTCATTACGGATGTGATAGTCTCTTAGTCGCAGTTTCATCATCTACGTACATATCTTTTGACAATACCATTACGTACATATCTTTTGATCGTTCTTGTAAGCTTACACAACGAAAGTTGATTTGCGAGAGGCTTTTCGACGAAAAAGTGGGATTCCCAACTTATGGAGCACCTAAAATTATAAAATTTGAACAATGTTAGAGTTACATCAATTTTGACATTAATTTTGACAACCCTCTCACATGCATTTGGTGGGGTCCACGATTAAAATAATTGTGGGCCCCACCCATGCGAGAGGACCGTCAAAATTGCTATACAATTTTGACTGTACATTAAGAATTTTTGATAAAATTTGAGGATCATGTCGTCGAGAAACATATGTCAAGGATAAAAACCCAATGAAGTCGATAGATCGAGAACCGATGTTGCAATTTCCTCTCAAAAATATTGTTGATTAAGACAGAGAAAATCTCAAGGATATGGTAGAGACTGTTGAGGGGGTGGGTGGGTGGGGGGGTAGAAGTCGGCCATGAGGCATCTGATATTAAAAGTTGATCTTTTGTTGTTTCTAATTAGTCTATTTGGTCACATTTTGGTTTCATCACCAAAAGGAAAAGTTGCATATTTGGTGGGTGCGCTTTTTGTCTCATACAGAATCTTACGAACCGAAGAATCGCATTTATTTGAATGATTAGAGGGCATAACTTTGACTTGAAAACGTTGTTATGGCCGACATTAATCTATTTTGCGATTTCATCTTCATACTGATAGTTGGTGGGATGTCGTTTTCCAAAACAATAATATTTCCAAATTGGAGTATCACTTTTTTTTTTTTTTTTTACATTTTTATCTGTAAAATACATTCACAGAGCTCAACTTATTCGCAATTTGTCGAACTTTTACTCATCTAAACTTCTTTAATGATTATTCACAAGTCAATTTCAAGCAAAAGAACACCTCGACCGACATACTATGGAACATGCAAGGCTAAACTTTAAAAGGGAAAATTATTTTTGAGTAAAAGTTTCCTTAAATACTCCCAAACAATCACTTATTAACTTATGACTTAATTTTATTGATTAAAATATTATTTTTTACCAAAACTCATTTACTCATGTGTGGACCTTTTAACCTTAGTGAAAAATGTTCTATCCGTCGAAATTTGAAAGTTTGTATGTGACCTTATTGGTTAATAACAAGTTGGTCAACCCGTCATCATAACCAAAATGACTCGAAGTTGCAAGGACTCGAAATTTTCAGCTCGAATAGAGCTTAGCTAATTTCATTCACATTGCAAACTACAAATGAGGCAATTAGTTGGTCAATACTTGTTATGATAAAGCTAGCCATGATTGAGTAATTTAATTTAAAATTTATTCGCAACGTCAAACTTTTATCAAAACTTAAGTTTGAATACGACTTATTAGAGGGCTCGATAACTTTAGTTACCCTTTTATGACATGTTTATATATGTTGATGTGGACAAATATTGTTCGATCAAGTATTTGGTCTGAAATTTGCAAAACTCAAATTAAATTGATTTGGGCTATTTATACTATCTTAAAAATTCAAATAATTTTACCCGGACTTAATATATGTATATAGATCAATCATGTTACATGTACATGCTATTTTACATCTTCTTTACATTGTGTTACATGACAAAACATTATTAGACAGTTTAAAAACAAAAATAGTTTTCCAGCCCACAAGGTTCAAAAACAAAGGCAATGTAAAAAACAAATTCAATTAAAGAATGTACATTTAGCATTATTCGTATATAGATATATGTATGTGTATATTGGAGTGGTTGCACTAGAAGACTTGAGGAACATATTCTCCTAATATAAAACTAACTACCCAAATCTTGATTCCCTAATTATGGGCTTAGACCATAGACCATATGGTGAAAACAAAACAAATTTTATATTACAAATATTCTGTTTCTGGAAGTTGAGAACATGATAACCACCTAATGGAAAATAAAAATTATTGATCCTAACAGAAATTGGATGAGAATAAGTTATGATATTGGCAAGTACATTTGAATTTTCAAAGTTTTCTCTAAGTAGGAGGAATCAATAAACAAATGTGGTTGACATATTCATGAATTTTAACATATTATAATTGGTAATTGTATAAGATTAAAGAAANCTTCTTGCTTTGTTGGGAACGTAATAGTACTATGGACTTGCACTAGATGGTATGGGTTGTTATGGTTACTGAAAGGCCTTATCGCACAAGCACGAATTTTACTCATTTTCCGATGCTCTACTGAAAGCCTTTTTTTGGTGTCAAACAGATTCTGGCTTATTTGCTAATGTCAGTGTTGGGTTTTTTGGTACCCAATAAATCCGGGCAAAGATTTAAAACAGTTGTCGGATTATGTAGCGACACCATAGACTTGGCTCGACTCAAAAACGACCTATACTTTTGAGATATGTGGTAAGTTGTTATCATGTTTAATTTAGGGATAATTATATTATTGTTGGATTTTGATATCCAATAAATATTGGGAGATGATTTTAAACTGTTTAGATAATATTTCACAAGTCTCGGCCGATGTGTGAATTGATTATCAATAACCAAGTTTAAAAGCTCGACCCAAAGAACAACGTGGACTTTTGAAAGTAGTTTAAAAAATTAATGTTGCTTACGATCCATATATTCACCTATTGGACGACTCTTGAGTCTTGTCCCATTTATCCATTCCTTGACCCAAATTGGTAACCTAACCTAATATTATATAAGAGCTTCCTTTTGTATTGTTGAAACTGTGTGGTTTGTTAAAGGAGAAAACGTGTGCTTTGCTTTGCTCTTGGAAAAAGTGGCTACCATCTTGATTTCGTCTTTCAATTTGTGCCTTTCTCTCATTGTTTTTTCCTTGCCTTTGTGGCTGAAAATCAACACCATTTATCTTGTCCTTTGCGGGTAAGATTAAGAAGCAACATATATAAATATATTGGTTGTGGGTTGAGCCGTTTGGATTGATTGTTGGAAGTAGAGAAATGTAACGTAAAATTGAGCTCC